TCCAGCCATAGTACATTGTGAAAAACATGTCCCCTCGAGCGCTTTGCGCCTACCAAGGGCCCAAGGGCCCGAACGCACGCGGTAGCCAAGCTTTCGAAACCAGACAGAGCGTGACACCAACACATACATCCCTCATGTACGATGAGGAGCTACATGAATCCATACTTTGATCATCCCCGTTCATCGCCGAGAAGGAGGAGGCGGAAAACAAAGGGAGGATGAGGAGGATGAGGAAAAAGGAGCTGAAGCAGCAGCAGGAGTAATTACGTTGGACCTCCTGTAACGCACGCGCGAGGCACGTTGATTATAAGCCGACGTCGTGCTTCATGTATGGGTACCCCGTGCGTTGTGTTTTAGTACAGGTTCACGGTTCGCATTGTATCGATGTCGTTCGCACTTGGTCAGTTTAATCATACAATAAGATATACCATGAAAAGTGTTAGCGTGTTTGGGGGAACGCACTAATCGTTTGGACCCCCATTGCGCCCAGTTTCTTGTCGAGGAGCCCCCCCTGGATCAGCTTGGCGAGGTGGTGGGCAACGGCAGCAGGCGCGTTCCCCTCGCTGAGGAAGTCCTCCCACTTCTGGACCATGTAACGCTGGCGCCTCTTGTTGCTGTCGACATCCTTGCCCAGCTTCGTTTTGAGCTCCCTGAGGGCATCGACCGACTCCTTCCATGCCTGTTGGCGAACACCGAACTCCTTGATCTTGTTGCGGGTTTTCTCGATGTTGGTCTTCAGCTTCTCGTTGTTCTGCCATTTGGACACGTCCTGTATGGTGGTCTTCATGGCGCCGAGGGCGTCCCTGATGTCGGTGAGGGACTGGCTGAAGTTCGCGCTCTTGACGTCGTCGTCGCTCTCCTCGGTGGCGGCGCTCATCTCCTTCGCGATGTCGAATAGCTGAGACGCCATCGTAATGCGTCCGCGCTTGCCCTCTGCACCCGACCACGACTTGGAGAGGCCCTTGGGGCCGTCCTCGAAACCGCTCTTCCATTTCAGGAACACGGAGGCCTTGCGCGGCCTCGCAGGTGGTTGCAACCACTCCATCTGGTCGGGGTCCAACTCGTCGGCCTCGGCATCCTCCGCGTCGGACGCACCACCGACGACGCCGCTGCCAGCAGTCGACGGAGCGGAAGCAGGCCCTTTACCACCGAGTTTGAGCGTGGCCCCGCGGGGTGCCTGGCCTAAACGTGCCATCGATGGGGAACCTTGGACGCCGTCGCGCATCTCCTCGGGGTAGCCCTTCGCGGCTTGCGACGCCGAGTGTTGTGGAAACAACTCTGCACCAAGAGACGGATTTGACAATGGGGGCGCGGAGGAGGAAGCCTGCGAGACATTCGTGCCTGGCGAGGACATCGGGGCCTGAATCCCACTGGCGGCCCCAACCTTGAGAGAACCACACGCCAGAACAACACAAACCAATGGCGATAAAGGCCAGACTAACTGGCATCAAGTTGGATGTGTAAGCCCGTGCGGATGGGGGGGGGGGGGGGGGGCGCGGGGGATGAGTGCGTATGTGTATACATGCACATATATACATGCGCATAAAATGTACAACACATGTGTGTAATGTAATTGGTTATGTATATCACACATGTCTGCATGCGCTACACCGTAACATATAGACGCATGCGTACATGACTGTATACACCATGTGATTGACATCCGTTTGAAGGTTAGCGGGGACCTGCAAAACATCTGGCACCGAGATGAACTGAGGAGTGATCGCTGGCTGCGTGCTGCTGTCGCCCTCCACATTGCGCTTCTTGACGGTGCCCTCCTCGTAGATGAACTCCGTGGGGAGCCGAACTGCGAGGAAGGTGGAGTCGCCTTCAACCTCCCAGTAGATGTCGCGGTTGCTCGCGCAGTCGGTCCAGTTCTGCTTCGCCTGCTCCTCGGCCATGCCCAGATTCACCTGGTGGTAGGCGATGTGTTGGGCCTTATTCAAGAGGGCGGTGCGCGCGCGCCTGGAAATCCTAGTCTCGGAAACTATTGTGCCCGCGAGCTCCTTGGTCATTGCGCGGGTGGTCGGCGTTCTCTCGCGGTTCTCGTCGGTCTTCAAAGACAAGACGAGGGCTCGGAACTTGGTCGGCGCGTCCTTCGCCATCTTGCGAACGGCCAGCCTACATTGAGGAGGCTTGCTGCTAGTTGTGCGGCCCAAACAGCGCATGGCGTTGCAGCGCTTCTTGTGGCACGGGCCCTGTTCGAAGAGCGCGTGCTTGGACAGCTCCTCGGGCTGTATGTGGCCCCGGCACACTTGACAGACATGGGCCACTACCTCCGGCGGATCCACGAAGCCACCGATGCGCGCCAGAATCTGGTCCCAGTCCGACTCATCAGCGCCCGACATTGCGCGGCGTAGCAAACGAATGTTGGCACTGGACACGCGAGAATGAATGACAGAGCCAGACAGAAAGGCTACGGAGTGGCGGTAGTAGTAGTCGTAATGGCGATGGCCCCTGGGGGGCACTAGTGCCACATGCCTGCTTGCATTCGCCTACGCGGCTGGCATCAGCTCGCAGACCCAAGGGGAACGCACGTCACTCTTTCAACGCAATTATGTCCGAAACTGGCACCGACACAGCCACGAGCTTTGGTCTGACCGACTGCGCGCCAAAAGAGGAGCCAAATGCTAGACACCATATTGCCATAATGTATGGTTCAATGTGTAGTTGCGTGTTCGTGCGCATGTAGCGGTTTGCGGGTTTGCAGTAGTAAGGCAGTGACGCTACGCTCATTCCCTAGCAGTGTATATGGGCACGCAGGTTGCCAGGGCCGGGTGGGGTGCGTGTGCGCGTGTGTGTGTGTGTGTGTGTGTGTGTGTGTGTGTGTGTGTGTGTGTGTGTGTGTGTGCGCGTGCGGTGGTGGTGGTGGTGGCGGCGGCGGTGGTGGTGGTGGTGGGGGGGGGGGGGGGGGGCAGAGGCGGGAAGTTATGTGTATCCCCTGGTGGGCTGGGCATGTGGATCGAAGGGGCCCTCAACGCGATATGTATAAAAAGTACATGTATAAGCACACAGCGTTGGCAATATAAAAGCAGAAGTGGGTATAACAATGAATGTACCAGTCATTGCCATTGAGAAATTAGTTGCGCCCTTGAGTGCGGTGATCGTGGTAAGTAGTGAGCCTTGTAGTCCCACTACAATCAGCGTCAGCAGCGGTACTCGTAAAGAGAATAACAATCGGCCTCAACAGTCGTGGTCTGATTACTATGTCATGATGTAAGACTAATATACTGAGTAGTAGCAGCAGCTGCTGTTGCTGCAGTAGGAGTTGTAGTAGTCGTAGTAGTAGGAGGAGTAGTGTAGTATGGAGTAGCAAAAAGTAATCGTTGTAATAGCAGAGGTAGTAAGCGTGAAAATATGTGTACTAGTTCCACAAGAACAAATAGCAACTGTTGTAGTAGTAGTGCCACCCGTGTCGCTGAACAGGCCGAGGCGCTAACATGTTTCTGCTGCGTTTGAACCATGTTGGGGTGCAAAAAAATTGTTGTAGCAGTAGTAAACGTAGCAGAAGTACCCGGCGTACTAGTAAGTGTAGTAGTGCTCGTCGTAGTAGTAGTGGTAAGAGTACTGGTCGTAGTATTAGTAGTAGTAGTAGTAGTAGTAGTGGAAGTGGTCGTAGTAGTAGTAGTAGTAGTAGTAGTAGTAGTACTAGTAGTAGTAGTAGTAACAGTAGTAGTAGTAGTAGTAGTAGTAGTAGTAGTAGTAGTAGTAGTAGTAGTATGGTAGTCGTCGTTCTAATAGTAGTAGTAGTCGTAGTAGTCGTAGTAGTCTAACAATGTGAGAAGTAAGTTTGTCCTTGTTAGTAGTAGTCGTAATCGTAGTAGTAGCTGTACAAACCGTGGCAGTAGTAGCCGTAGTAGCAGTAGCGGTGGTAGTAGTAGTAGTAGGCGTAGTAGTAGTAATAATAATCATAATAACTATAGTAGGTAGTAGTAGTAGTAGTAGTAGTAGTAGTAGTAGTAGTAGTAGTAGTAGTAGTAGTAACAGTAATAGTAGTAGTAGTAGCAGTATCAATAGTAGTAGTAGTAGTAGTAGTAGTAGTAGTAGTAGTAGTAGTAGTAGTAGTAGTTGGTAGTAGTAGTAGTAGTCGTAGTAGTAGTCGTAGTAGCCGTAGTAATATGATAAGTACGTTTGTCCTTACGAATAGTCGTCGTAATAGTAGTAGTACCAGTTCAAACCGTGGCAGCAGTAGCCGTAGTAGCAGTAGCGGTAGTAGTAGTAGTAGTAGTAGTAGTAGTAGTAGAAGTAGTAGTAGTGGTAGTGGTAGTAGCAGCAGCAGTAGCAGTAGTAGTAGTGGTAGTAGTAGTAGTAGTAGTAGTAGTAGTAGTGGTAGTGGTGGTAGTAGTAGTAGTAGTCGAAATAGTAGTAGTAGTACCAGGAGTAGTAGTAGTAACAGTAGTAGTAGTCGTAGTAGTAGTAGTAGTAGCAGTAGTAGTAGTAGTAGTAGTAGTAGTAGTAGTAGTGGTAGTAGTAATTGTCGCTGGTGAACTAGTAGTAGACATATGGGTGGACAACAGACAGGCCGACAGACAAACACATGACGGACATATTCTAAATGCATTCAGAATATGTCGGGGCGCCGAGAAGGGAATGAGACTGAGGGGGGGGGGGGGGGGGGGTCTGAAAGGGACACAGAATAGCAGTTGTTTATGCAGTGCAGATCTAGAGGCTTCTCTGTGAGGTCATGGTCTGCCGTGTTCTGTGACCGCCGCCCACTGGCTCAAGGTGTGGGTGGGCGGGCCTGTTTTATCTAGACAGCTTACTGCAGCTGCGCAGATCGCGCTGCTGGGGCCGCGATCGTCTCAGGAGAGCAAAAGGTGCTCATCGTGTGGAGAAGGATTCTGAATTACTTATAAATCGTGAACATCAGTTTTGGACATCCCCGGAGAGAGAGGTGTGGAAGTTTGAGAACTTCAGGGGCCTCTTGAGGCTCTACGGGATTCAGATTGGTAGCGGAGCCTGTGGTAACCGCACCACGGGCTCCCACCAGTCTCGTCACGATGACAACGCCAACAGGGACATCGGCACCATCACGAGTCGAGGTACCTTCCTGGAACGGTGAGGCAGAGAAGCTGTCGAACTACCGTTTCGAGGTGTCGATGTTCGTGAAGAGCATCAGAGTGAACGACCGCTACGTCTGCGGACCACAGCTGGTCCGGGCGCTTGGGCCGCGGGTTCGGAACGCCGTGGAGAGCTGCCCCTCGATCAACGACGTAGACGAGGTGGATGACAACGGAAAGTTGGTCGGCTGGGAGAGGGTGTTCAGCTATGTGCATGAGAAGTTGGACTACACCAGCCTCACCGACACGGGTCTGCTGGCCGAGGAGTTCTTCCTGAAGATAGGCCGCAACTCTGGAGAGCCCTTCCAGGACTGGGCGGCCCGGTTCGAGAAAAAGGAGAGGGAGCTGCTGACCCAACTGCAGGCCATCGACCCGGACGTGAAAGAAGTGATAGCGAAACCTCTTCGCACATGGTGGTTCCTGCGGAAGTCGAGACTCACCCCTGTGCTCAGAGGTGAAGTGACGGCGACCGCGGGAGGGGACTTCAACTACGGAAAGACATACAAGACGTTGCTCACGCGCTTCCCAGCGGAGGCCCTTGCTGAGCTGGATGGCAAAGTCAAGCGTGAGCGGGCGTTGTTCGAGAACGACTTTGGGGAGGACGAGGGCGAGACTGGTGGGGAAGCAGAGGAGATCCACGAGCTGGCCGAGCAGCTCCTCAACCTTGCGGACGAGGACGAGGAGGTGGAGCCCGACGACTTGGAGGCGGACAACGCGGTGTTCGCGCAGCTTCGCCAAGCTGGCCGGAGCTTCAAGGATGCCAGGGATCTCCTTCGACAAGTACGAGTAGCCAGGGACTACTACCCGGTGGTGGTTCCGCGAGAAGATGGACGACAAGCTCCACCGCCGAAGCCTCACGCTGAGCGGCGGCCCCGAGGACAGGCTAAAGGACGTGGGCGCGGACAACAAGATCGACGAGTTCGCTTCGAAAGTGCGCGAGATCTGTCCAAGATGAAGTGCATCGTGTGCAGACAGTTCGGACATCGAGCTCGAGACTGCCCCGACCGTGGCAAGGTCGGAAGCGGCGCCACTGGAGGCACTACTAACACGCACAACGGCTTCATCTTGTCGGCCCTGGACGAGTGCGTCTACCTGCTTGAGCGCGAGGGGATCTGGGCCGTGCTGGACATTGGAGCTACGCGCAGTCTCGGTGGCGTCGAGAGCGTAGAGAACCTCATGTACGAGATGATGGTGAACCACGACGTGGAGTTCGAGGCGCACGACGACACTTGCTCCTTCACTTTCGGCGACGGGCTCCAGAAGAGCTCGATGGGAACGGTCTCTGGACGCGCCTACTTGGGACCGGAGCTCCGATACATCAGCCTCTCAGTGATGGCGAACCGCGTCCCCATTCTCCTGGGCATGGACATCCTGACGGACGACTTGAAGGTAGTGGTCGACTGCGGCCGTAACTGGATCGGGTTGCCGACGCTGGGCAACAAGGTCTGCTACTGCGAGAGGCTCTCGAGCAAGCACCTGGCGATCAACCTCTCGACACCGCAGTGGTGGCGCGAAGTCTCTCTACCCTTGTCCCTGGAGAGCTGCCACGTCAACATGACAGGGCGGGACTCCATCGTGCTGGATGAGAAGCCGGAGGAGCCCGTGACGGGCTGCGCTGGCTGTCTCGCCGTGCGCTAGGGACAGCACCCCCTGGTGATGTCGGCGAGCGAGATATCATCTCCATCGTCATCCTCATCATCGGGGGGGCCAACAGAAAGATGCTCAAGGAGCCCAGGTTCTTTTCCCAGTCCAGGAGACCGCCACATCCAGGGAACCTCGATGACCTCGAGAGGGTCCACATCTCCAGGAGAGACCTCGAGCCAGCCCCCTTCGAGCCGACCGAGAGCGACGCAATGCGCGACCGAGAGAAGACCCACGACGTCTCAACGTTCGAGCAGCCCGAGACCGATGACGACCAGGGGTTCGAGTGGGACAAGGTGGGGGACACTCTCGGGATCGTCAGGGGCGACACGGAGTCCGAGTACTCGGGAGAACTCTTGGACACTCTCGGGGACTTCGGAGGCGACGAGAGGTTCTAGTACGAGGGAAAGGTCTAGGGGGACCCAGATGACAACTAGGGTGAGCTTCTGGGGACCTACCGAGAGAAACGAGATGCACCTGCCAGAGGAGAACCCCGAACAGAACCCCAAGAAGCCAAATGGTATTCCTCAGCCTCGTGTGGCCCAAGAATGTTGTGCAGGAGCTTCCGAGATTCCCAACAGTTCAGCTTTCCATATCCTACATGTCAGAACGCGTCTGATGTCATGTGGAGACTCTTCTTCGCGACAACAGCCGCCGTCGGCGCGACCAGAGTGGGCGCGTCCGAGGACTCGGGCAGGATCCTCACCTGCCACGCCGACGCCAGCCCCTTCGACAGCGGGCTCGGCATCGACAACACCACCACAGCAGATGCCGATCAACAGTCCAACGGGATCACCAGTGCAGTACCAGCCACCCGGACGATGCCAGTGCTGCGGAGCTGTGGGACGGACTCGGAGGGGATGCAGCTGCAACGGCGGCATATCCCACTACTGCCTTCAACTCCAGGCACGGCATGGACCTCATCCTGCATGGCCACCTGCTGCCCTACTGGCGACGCCTCCCGAAGTGTTCCTGGAGATGGGCTCCCCGGTGCCGGCGACCCCATCAGCAGGGCCACCGCTGCAACCACCGCCACCGCCTCCGACGCCACCGAGCTCAACAGTTCGATCGAGGTGCTCATGCTGCAAGGCGCCCAACCGGGCGATCACGGGAGGCAGTTGCCGCGGAGGAAAGAGTCATCGATGCCTACGCCTGCGTCCGGACGACTCGACATCGGAGAGGGAACCCCACAGCGAAGCGCTAGGGGACATCCGAAGCCAGGCCATGGCGATGCGGTGGAGGCGTCTGGCGTCGAAGCTGGCGAAGTGCGACCCCGCGGGGCCATGGGTGTTTCTGCCAGTGCCGGACGACAGCATGCTGGACGATTCGGAGGCGACGGAGACCGTGAAGAAGCGGGGCCGCTGAGGTCCCTGAATGACTCGGATCTCTCCGCGTTCTACCAGGCGCAGACCAAGGTGATGGACCAGATCTACTTCGAGATCGGCGAGGACACCGTCACCCTGACCAAGACCAAGCGCGCGGACCTCATGGAAGTGTGCTGCCCGAGCGAGTCGTCGCTCGGCAAGGCGGTGGAGACGCAGCACGGCAGGGTGATACGGTGTGGGCTCTTCAACGGCTATGACATGGGCACGGCCACAGGAGTCCGCAGGGCCATGCATCTTCTTCGCCTGGCACGACCTCGACGGTTGGTGTTAAGCCCACCGTGCACCGCACACTGTCCCATCCAGAACCTGAACCAGAAGACGGAGAACCAGAGGAAGCAGCTCTCGAACAAGATCCGACAGGCGCGCAGGATCCAGCGGGGGTGTCTGGCTTTGTACGAGGAGGCGAAGAAGATAGTCGATTGCCACATCGAGCTAGAGCAGCCCTGGAACAGCCGCAGCTGGTCGAAGTCACCCTCCATCAAGAAGATGCCGTCAGAGATGTACGAGACGATCATTCATGGGTGTGCCTACGGACTTCGTGACGAGAGGTCTGGACTCCTGGTGAAGAAGGGGTGGCGAGTGTGCTCTACTGACCCCGACTTTGGAGCAAAGGTGGGCCGGCTCTGCGGCAACCGACCGGGACGCGGAGACAATCATCTACATCGTGTCATCGAGGACGGACCTCTGGTGGCTCAGACAGCCTTCTATCCTCCTGCCATGTGCCGAGCCTGGGCTAAGCACATCCTCAAGAAGAACGTGACCACCCAGTACGGCAAGGAGGTCTACGCGGGCCTGGAGCAGATTCCAGAGGAGGACGACGTCGAGATGTCGGGCGAATTAGAGGAGCTGAACACGGAGGAGGACATCGAGATGGAGACCGCCGAGGCGTCCCTCAAAGGCTTGGGCGTCAAAACGGAGCTGTCAAAGAAAGAGATCTCAGAGATCGAACAGAGACTCGCGCGACTTCATCGCAATCTGGGGCACCCAAGCAACAAGACACTTTACAAGATTCTCAAGGCCTCTGGAGCAGCAGTCCCTGTACTCCGACTGGCACTTCAATTTCAATGCCATGGCTGCCAGATCGGGAAGCTCCCCAAAGCTGTACGAGTGGCCTCAGGCGTGGAGATTCCGAGCGTGCTAGGAGTCCTCGCCACGGACGGACTGGAGTGGCTCTCACCTCAGCAGACCTCCCACATCATGACCCTGAACCTCGACGAGGGGTCCGGCCTCACCAGCGTCACCTACCACGGGCAGAAGGGTGAGCGCAGCGGCAACCGATCAGCCATCGAGGTGATCTCTACGTGGGAATCGTGGTGCAGCCACTACCGTCAACCTGCCCTCCTTCGCATGGACCCTGAAGGGTGCCACTGCTCTCAGACAGTCGCGAAGTGGGCATCCGACCATGGGATCGAGATATGGATTGCACCTGGGGAGGCGCACTGGCTCATGGGCAAGGTGGAACGTCGCACGCAGCTCTTCAAGCGCCTCATGACGAAGATGGCCACCCACGACCCCGATTGCAGCACGCAGGAGCTGGTCACCTGGGCCGTGAGCGCGATCAACTCCATGGACAAGGTGGGGAACCACTCCCCGTTCGAGCACGTGCTGGGCGTAACAGGGATGGCACCCACGAGCAACCCCTTCGCCATCATCGACGGGGACACCGGCGAGACACAGGAGCAGAGGCGACTTCTGGCCCGCCAGAGCTACCTCGAGTGCGAGTACGCAGAACGGCGACGCCATGCAGAGCAGGCCAGGAACCGCATCTACCAGACCTGGGAGGCCGGCGACCTCGTGTACTTCTGGCGTGACGGCAAGGGACGGGAGAACCGACCTGGCAAGAAAGGAGGTTGGCACGGACCTGCACGAGTACTTGTCCAAGAAAAAACGTCATATCGACGGCCGCGCTCGGGTGACCTCGGTCGTCTGGATCGCCCGCGGGAACACGTTGATCAGGTGCGCACCCGAGCATCTACGACCAGCCTCCGAAGCCGAGAAGATGCTGACCGAACTCAAGAAGCAGGCCTCCCTCGGGAAGACCATGACAGAGATCCTGGAGACCGCCAAGGCTGGGACGTTCGAGGACCTGGTGGAGAAGCGCCGCCCGGACCTCACAGCGTACGAGCCCCCGAGGACAACCGAGGCGTTCCAACCAGGAGATGGGGCAGAAGCGCCACCTGCCGCTGCCACGGAGGAGGAAACGAATATACCGGAGTCGAGCCACACTACACCGAGGTCCATGGCTCAACCTGAAGCTGAACCTGTGTATGGGGTTGAAGTACAAGAGTACAGAACCCCTGATCCGTTGGTAGAGAGATGGAGGGATAGATGGATATCTTTCCCTCCCAAGCGATCAAGGTACGATCGCTCCAACTCAGTACCTGAGCCCAAACGGCCAGGTGCGGGAGAGGTAAGGATAAGGAGTATATATGAGGGTATTACACGGGTTCCATACACACCCCCCGTCCCGAATCCCGCCCGTGAAGGCAGGACTCGGGATCGGGAGGATGGAATCCGTAACCTCAGAACTCCTTCACCTTAAGTCTGAAAAGGCAGCTGGGCTAAAAGTCAGCGAAGCCAGAGCTGCAAAGCGAGGTAAGAAGAGATACCTTGGGTCTCTTTTTCTTCACCGGGCGGACTTTGCCGCCCCCTCGGTGCGCCCCCCAAAACGCTTCGGCACTCGAGGGAGGAGAAGAATGAGACAAAGGTAGGCGGAGAAAGAAGATCTGAGCACCAAGGCAACGCAAACCGCCTCGCAAGATTTGCGAGGCAGGTGTTGCCACCAGCTATCAGATTATTCTCGACGCAATATTGTTAAATTGTTAAAATATGCATGCTAAGATCGTGTTGACGAGCACAATCTTGAAATCAAACACAAGTCTGCCTAAAAGCAAATGTATGCCAAGATCGTGTTGACGAACACGATCCTGAAAGAAATGCAAATCTGCGTTAAAGCAAGTACCTGGCCAGGAGAAAATGTCGTGTTGATGAACACGAAAATGATGTATAAAAATCTGTTTGGCGACTCCCGTTGGCGTTGCTCCTTAGGAGGCTGTCTCGGTGATCGCAAAAGATATCTATATGTGTGTATGGCCACATGTGTGAAAGATTGACGTGGCCTAAAAGAATGTATTAGCCACCGCTCAAGGCGAACTTTGATGAACGGAAATTCTGCTCTTGAGCAGTGGGCCTTGCGGCCGACTCACTACGCGTCGCCGTCCTTGTAGAACCTGCGGTCCCACACCCTCTGGCCGTTGTACGTCACATAGCTTGTCGTAAACGTTTCCCAAGTGGTCCTCGGGATCCAGTTGCGGAACCAATCGTTGTACGTGATATCCTGGATGTACACATACTCGTCGTTGTTGATCGCAATGTAGATCCAACATTTGATGTAATAACTCCAGTATCGAAGACCCCAATCGCTGTCCTCGAGATTGTGGCGCCAGTAAGCAGCGTAATCAGATGTACGTGCTCTCTTGGCGCGCGGCATCGCGGGCATGTAGTCCTCTGCGCCTGAGGCGCTGGATGCAGCGGCGTCGCCAGGAGCAGGGCGCGGCGGCGGCCGCGGCGGCGGCCGCGGCTCCATGGCGTCATCGGACTGTTGGGAGTGTGTATCTGGATCGGTTCTCATCCCTGTACTACCCCCCCTCTGGTCAGTGTGTGACGGATCGAGGGAGCCTATCAGCTCGTTGGCAATCGCGGCAAGCTTGCGCTGGGTGAACTGTTCACGGGTTCCGTCCCTCGAGGGAGAGAAACCGTAATCAGTCCGCGCGCCTGCCGCGTCTGCCTGTCAATGCGTCCCTCGTTCAGCCACCACTTTCTCCGACCAGCCTGTCCTGTCCTAATACTGACGTCAAGGATGTCCCACGCGTCGCGCATGTCCTCGACTCTCCAGGGCTTCTTGCCGACATTCACGCGGGCTCCTGTCATCTGATGATGGAATCTGAGGTCGTTGAGAAAGCGTTGAATGAGATTGGCGTATGGGTAGTACAGAGGTCGGTCGTCCTCGGATT